ACATGTTTGTTCTGCTGCAAAAATTTTGAAATTCATGTTCACATGGGGTTTTAAAGGTGTTTATGGAAAATGTGTATCAAGAAAAAAAACTATGCATGGATTTTAAAACTCTTCTGCACTAAAATAAACATCGTTGAATTCTATTTTCCATATACTTTTTGAAGTACTCTCGTATTTGCCCAAGTTCTGTGTTCAGACCTCTTCCTGTTCAGCACTCCTTGACTCTTCTTTTAACTGATGTAACTCTGAGCTGTCTGCATATGAGATGGCTTAGATTGTAATTTGAGATTGCCTTTCTTCTGAGCTCTCAAATCCTACTGCCACCTGTTTTTTAGTCATTTCTACTTTTGGGCCATCTTCTACTGCTATCCCAGGCCATAGCAGAGAGCTGGATGGGAAGTGGAGCAGCCAGGACTCAAACTGGTGCCCATATGGGATGCCAGCACTTCAGGCCAGGGTGTTAATGCCACAGCGCCGGCCCCTATACATCAACTTCTAACAGACCAGTGTGTTAGATATTTTGCTCTTCTCAATCACAATAACACCATTTCACTCATTTTTCGGTCTGTGTTCACCAACATATTTAGAGAATTGTGCTTGATTACATCTTTATGACCTAGAAGACTCTTATATTCAGTATGCATTTAGTATTCTCCACTCATGTTTTCTGGTAGACTAATCCATGTATTATATATCACATGGGGTAGGGGGTGACTGAATCCCAGTAATCTTATGTATATATTTTTGACACATCCAACTGGACTATCAGCTTTTTTGGAGAAAGACTGCTTTCTCTTGCTTTAAGGGCCCTCTATAGAGATTATAACTAGACAGAGTTATGCTTGCTAAAATTGTCAATTGTATATAACATATTCTTGAATTTTTGTCTTTACTTACATCTTCCCCATAGCTATTCCTTCTAGAGTCACTAAAAGACACAGTTTATTTTATAAGTATATACTTTGGGAACAGGTAAGAACCTAGTAGGAAAGCAACACATCATAACTATATGGGAATGTAACAAGGAACCAGAAGAATAACATATCACCATTACATTATTATTTCTAGGAGTATAGTCCTACAGTAAGCATAAGATAATATGATATACTAAGAGGGATAATGTATTTAGTTGTTCATTAACAGTCAGGGCTATGCTGATCAAGCCACCATTTCCCATAGTGTCCACCTCACTCCAACAGGTTTCCCTCTTGAATACATTATCCCTCTTAGTAGTTTTTTTATCTGTTCTACTTCATATGACTGGTTTAGATCTGTAATTGATGCACAGTTATTCTTAAGTGTTAAAAATTAACTGAAATGTGATCCCTGTTGAACATGGTGGTGGGAATGGGAGAGGGAAGAGATGTATAATTTGGGACATGCTCAGGCTGACTTGCCCCAAGTGGTGGAGTTGGAAGCATACCAGGGGATTCCAATTCAATCCCATCGAGGTGGCATGTACCAATGCCATCTCACTGTTCCAGGTGATCAGTTTCAGTTCACAGTTGGTCAAGGTGAAGGGACTGGGAGTCAAAGGGAGCACATAAACAAGTCTAGTACCTGCTAACGCTAACTGATGGAGTAAATAAAGGGGAGAGTGATCCAACATGGGAAGTGAGATACTCAGCAGACTCATAGAATGGCAGATGTCCTAAATAGCACTCTGGCCTCAGAATCAGCCCTAAAGGCATTCGGAGCTGGCTGAAAAGCTCATGAGGGTATTTCAGGCATGGAAAGCCAAGACACTCTGGCAAAAGATCTCTGCGAGTGAGATCCCAGTGGAAAGAACAGGTCATCAAAGAAGGAGGTACCTTTCTCTGAAGGGAGGAGAGAACCTCCACTTTGACTATGACCTTGTCTAAACAAGATAAGAGTCGGAGAACTCAGAGGGCTTCCATAGCCTTGGAAACTCATGACTGGAGCATAGGGAGATTACTGATGCCATAGACAGGAGTGTCAATTGGTAAAGTCAACAACAGGAGTCACTGTGCACTTACTCCTCATGTAGGATCTCTATCCTTAATGTGCTGTACATTGAGATTTAATGCTATAACGAGTACTCAAACAATATATTTCACTTTGTGTTTCTATGGGGATGCAAACTGTTGAAATCCTTACTTAATGCATACTAAACTGATCCTCTGTAAAAAAAAAAAAAAAAGATAATATGATATACTAATAAATCCTTTATTTACCTAACTAAAAGATTGGTCATAGATTTTGCTTGTTTTAAAGTAATTAATATATTATCAATTATATAGTGCCAACTGCCACATCCATCAAATTATTTTCAAAACTGAATTTTTTTCAATTAATAAGTAAAAGGAGCCGAAACTCCAGACAAGTAAACAGAAGGAAAAAAGCCCACATTTCTCTTTATTCAAATCACAAAAACTCATCAATAGGTAACAAAGAAAAAATAAATAAATAATATGGGGCTGGTATTACGGCTTAGTAGGTTAAGCCTTTTCCTGTGATACTAGCATTTAATATTAGAGTGCCGGTTCAAGATCTGACTGCTCCAATTTTGATCCAGCTTCCTGCTAAAGTGCCTGGGAAGGCAGCAAAAGATGGCCCAAGTATTTGGGTCCCTGCCAGCCATGTGGGAGACCAGAATGGAGTTTCTGGGTCCTGGAGCCACTTGGGGAGTGAACCAGCAAGTGGAGTATCTGTTTCTTTTCCTCTTTCAAATAAATCTTTCTGAAAAATTATAATCTGACCAAAAATATCACACTGCTATTAAGCCTTAACAAATTTAAAATAAGATGGTGGCTTTGATATAATCATGGGTTAAAGACAACTGAATCTGTGTCCATAAGAATTTACAACTGAAAAACACTCGTGGGTTGAATTTTGAGACTTTTAGGGGCCAGTGTTGTGGTGCACAGGTTAAACTGTGCATCCCATATGGGCGCCAGTTGGAGTTCCAGCTGCTTTACTTCCATCCAGCTCTCTGCTAATGCACCTGGGAAAAGTAGTGGAAGATGGTCCCAGTGCTTAAGTCCCTGCTACCCACATAGGAGATCGGGCTGAAGCTTCCTACTTCTGGCTTTGGCCCGACCCAGCCCCAGCTATTGTGGACATGTGGAGACTAGACCAGTGGATGGAAGACCTCTCTTGGTGTCTCTCCCTCTCTAACTCTGCCTTTCAAATAAAATAAATAAGTAAATAAGGATAGATATAAGGAGTCTTCAAAAAATACATGGAAAATGCATATTGTAAAACAACTATGCATATATTTCAAAACTTTTTGCACCAAAATAAACATCTTTTAATTTCAATTTTCTATGAGCTTTCTGTGGACACCTCTCTCTTTCTCATATATATATGTATACATATATATGGTTCATTTGTAAGGAGCTGGAAATCCTAGTTTTAAATTTTTGTATACAAAGCTATGTCTTAGGATGTAAAAGGTAGGAAATTTAGGGGTTTGATATGTAGTTGGTAATCCCCCTGTAATTTTCCCATTTTGTGTTGATCTTCAATTTCTCTTGTGAAGCACTTTGACTATTTTCATCATTGGTTCCTATGTTAGTATCATTTGTTTCACCCCAGTTCCTATTTAGTATCATTTGTTTATTAGTATATTTATTTATGGCAATAAAGGATGACTTAAAAAAAAATCGTAATATCTTACAGGGTAGTAAAGTTGGTTTGTAAAACAAAATTCTAGTTCATTCAGAGGCAAGTCAAATGATATGTAAGCAAGTGCCCAAGAAGAAAATTGAATTATCAATACTTTACAGAGATAACTAGAAGGTTCTCTTTCCCAGCTCAAGCCTAAGGCCTATATGCTACCACTGCTTGATAACATGAGAGACCTTTACAGTCAGTTTCTGTTCTGTTTGCATATGCTTTGTTTAAGTAATTTACTTAAAATCTGCTTTATCTTTATAAATATACTTTTTAAAACTGTGTGATGCTTTCCTCCACATTAAATGATTTTTCAATGAAGGAATTAGCTGATGTTATGGTACAGTGGTTTAAACCACCACCTGGGACATCAGCATTCCATATCAGCATTCCATATGAGCCACCTACAGTGCCAGCATCCCATCAAGCTCTCTGCTATGGCCTGGGAAAGCAGTAGAAGATAGCCCAAGTCCTTGAGCCCCTGCCCCCATGTGGGAGACCCGGAAGAAGCTCCTGCTTCGGATGGGCATAGCTCCAGCCATTTTGGCCAATTGGGGAGTGAACCAGCAGATGGAAGACTTCTCTCTCTCTGCCTCTTCTCTCTCTCTGTGTAACTCTTTCAAAGAAATAAATAAATCTTAAAAAAAAAAGATTCTGTTTTAGGGGCTGGCGCTGTGGTGTAGTGGGTAAAGCTGCCACTTACAATGCTGGCATCCCATATGCGTGCCGGTTCAAGTCCCAGCTGCTCCACTTCTGATCCGGCTCCTTGCTATAGCCTGGGAAAGCAGTGAAAGAAGGCCCAGGTCCTTGGGTCCCTGAGCCTGGGAGGACCCAGAGGAAGCCCCTGGCTCCTGGCTTTGGATCGGCTCAGCTCCGGCCACTGCAGCCAGTTGGGGAGTGAACCAGCAGATGGAAGATCTCTCTCTCTCTGCCTCTCCTTCTCTGTGTAACTCTTTCAAATAAATAAATAAATATTTTTTTTTTTTTTTTTTTTTTTTTTTTTTTTATTTTTTTTTGACAGGCAGAGTGGACAGTGAGAGAGAGAGACAGAGAGAAAGGTCTTCCTTTGCCGTTGGTTCACCCTCCAATGGCCGCCGCGGCCGGCGCGCTGCGGCCGGCGCACCGCGCTGATCCGATGGCAGGAGCCAGGAGCCAGGTGCTTTTCCTGGTCTCCCATGGGGTGCAGGGCCCAAGCACCTGGGCCATCCTCCACTGCACTCCCTGGCCACAGCAGAGGGCTGGCCTGGAAGAGGGGCAACCGGGACAGAATCCGGCGCCCCGACCGGGACTAGAACCCGGTGTGCCGGCGCCGCTAGGCGGAGGATTAGCCTAGTGAGCCGCGGCGCCGGCCAATAAATAAATATTTTTTTAAAAAAGAATTGTTTTAAAATATAGCATATGTTATAGATATATTCTTGTTCCCAAAGGAATGAGGAACAGTCATGTCTACATGCAGCTCAATCACTTTTAAAATTGTGCCTACTTTAATCACTGCATGTATGCATGCAATGATTTAATGGTACATATTTACTCTAGTTATAAGAATAAATACTAGTGCTGGCACTGTGGTGTAGGCTAAGCATCCACCTGTGGCACTGGCATCCCACACAGGCGCCAGTTAGTTATGGTTGCTCCACTTCTGATCCAGTTTCCTGCTGATGGCCTGAAAAAGCAGTGGAAGATGATTCAAGTGCTTGGGCCCCTGCACTCATGTGGGAGACCCAGAAGAAGCTCTTGGCTTCTGGCTTTGGATCTGCCCAGCTCTGGCCTTGTGGTCATTTGGGGACTGAACCAGTGGATAGAAGACTTCTGTTTTCCCATTCTTTGTATGTAACTATGCCTCTCAAATAAATAAATAAATAAATATTTGGAAAAAAAAAAAAAGAACAAATACTAAAAAAGTATTTATTTATAAGTGCCAGAAGTCATGCTGGAAGAGTCCTCTGAAGTGTCTCTTTGGAGATCAGAAGGTTTACTAATATATATATATATATGGAGTTTTCAAAAAGTTGATAACAAATGTATATTAAGAAAAAAATAAGGAATTCCAAAATGATGGAAAAGGGAGGGAGCTTACTGGTCTAGTTTAGGGGAAGATAGTTAAAAAAAAAAAAAAAAAAAAAAAGTGGAGAGAGTGCAATCCCAGGGAAGAGTTAGGGAGAAAACTACAGAGAAAACTCTATGCAAATTAGAGGGACACTGTGGATCTACATGGAAGGTGTGGATGCACACAACTCAGGACCCCAGCAGCCAAGAGCCTCAGCACCAGCTTTGGAGAGTAAGGTGAGACCAGATTGCAGCAGCCCAAGCTTTGGCAATAAAGCTGTGGGAAAAGCCTGGCATGAGTCCAGCTTGGGGCCCTGTGGGGACAGTGTACTTGCCAACCTTGAAGAAAAAAAAGAGGGCATGATTTTCTCTCCCTGATCACATGGCACTAGTGTCCTATAACTAGCTGAGAGGGTGAGCACCATTTTGGACATACATAACAGCTGCACCAGCTTCTGTCCACACACCCAGCAACCAGCGGAGAGACGCCTGAGTCTTGCTGGGAGAACTGACGGGAGGCTGTCAGACCTGTGCTGGGACTGTGGAAACACTGTGGTTGCACAGGAGGGTGCAGGGTGTGGCTGGGTCCTTGGGCAGTCACTGTGAGTGACTCCACACACCCCAGGCCCCCTGATTATCCAGTGAGGGTCATTGCTGCAGGATCTGTGCTCACACTGAGGACTGCATGGATCCGTTGTGTGGTTCTTGGGCAGCATGGATGAACACTGTACCCACTGGGGCTAATGCCCAGGCACTGGGCTCTTAGGAGGAGAGAAGGTGAGCCTGAGACTACTCCAACAGAGCAGATTAAATCTCACCTCAAAAAAAAGAAAAAAAAAAAGATTTGTCTTGCCCTACTTTGGTGTCACTTTGGACACTTCCCTCACCCTGGAACACTGAACACTGCTCCTTGGTCACACTCAGCACATGTCTCAGGGTATTCACTGAAAGAGCAGACACTCCACTAATTCACAGGGAAAAGCCATCACAGGGAAAAAACAAAACAAGTGTCTCCACAAATATAAATGCAGCAATTCAAGAAACAAGAATAAGAAAGACAACAGGATGCCCCCAAATTAACACAATTAACACTTCAGTACTAGAATGTGAAAATGAAGGGATTGACAATGAAATGCTGGAAACAGAATTCAAAAAACTGATTGTAGGGGGCTGGCACTGTGGCATAGCAGGTTAAAGCGCTGGCCTGAAGCGCCGGCATCCCATAAGGGTGCTGGTTCTAGCCCTGGCTGCTCCTCTTCCGATCCAACTCTCTGCTATAGCCTGGGAAAGCAGTGGAAGATGGCCCAAATCCTTGGGCCCCTGCACCCATGTGGGAGACCGGGAAGAAGTTCCTGGCTCCTGGTTTCAGATCAGTGTAGCTCTGCCCATTGTGGTCATCTAGGGAGTGAACCAGCAGATGGAAGACCTCTCTCTCTCTAACTCAGTCTTTCAAATAAATAAATAAAATAAATCTTAAAAAAAAAAAAAAACTGATTGTAGGACTACTTAGGAGTAATTAGAAGCAAATCCACAAATTAAAGAAATCCATGGGGCCAGCGCTGTGGTGCCGTGGGTTAACGCCCTGGCCTGAAGTGCCGGCACCCCATAATGGCACTGGTTCTAGTCCCAGCTGCTCTTCCTCCGACCAAGCTCTCTGCTACGGCCTGGGAAAGCAGTAGAAGACAGCCCAAGTCCTTGGGTCCCTGTACCCTTGTGGGAAGACCCAGAAGTTCTTGGGCCCCTGCACCCACGTGAGAGACCCGGAAGAAGCTCCTGGCTCTGGATCAGCGCAGTGCCGGCTGTTGAGGCCATCTTTTTTCTGCCTCTCCAAATCTCTTGTTAAGGCTTTCCACCACATTTTTTATTTGATCTTTTGAATTCTTCATTTCCAATATTTAATTTTGATTTCTCTTTAACATCTCAGTTTCATAGGTGCCAGTTTGAGTCCTGGCTGTTCCACTTAGATCCAGCTCTCTGCTACGGCCTGGGAAAGCAGTAGAAGATGGTCTAAGTCCTTGGGACCCTGTACCCATCTGGGAGACCCAGAAGAAGCTCCTGGCTCCAGAATGCCCCAGCTCCTGACGTTATGGTCATTTGGGGCATGAACCAGTAGATGGAAGACTTTTCTCTCTCTCTCTGCCTCTTTGTAACTTTTTCAAGTAGAATAAATAAATCTTTTTCTTTTTTTAAAGAATATCCAAGTTAGAAGACAACTCTCTGGAAATGTTACTGTCAGGTCAAAGAAAAAAAAAAAAGAGAAGAAATTAGAAAACTAAAAACTGTGTTGGAGGTTTATGGGAGACTATCAAATGATCCAGCATACAGATCTTAGGAGTTTCTGAAGGCATGGATAGAGAAAATGGATAGAAGGCCTTTATAGTGAAATAATTACAGAAAACTTCCATAATTTGGAGACAAAAAGGGACGTCCAAGTGTAGGAAGCATATAGAATTCCTAATAAACATGAACAGAAAAGATCCTCACCATGACACATTGTAGTCAAACTCTCCATAGTAAAACATAAAGAAACAATTCTAAAATGTGCATAGGAGAAATGCCAGGTAACTTTCAGAGGATCTCCAATTAGACTCATAGCTTTTTTTTTTTTTTTTTTTTCAATTTATTTGAAAGACAGACAGTGAAAGAGAGAGACAGAGAGAAAGGTCTTCCCTCTGTTGGTTCACTCCCCAAATGGCTGCAACAGCCAGCACTGTGCTGGTCCAAAGCCAGGAGCCAGGTGCTTCCCCCTGGTCTCCCATTTGGGTACAGGGGCTCAAGCACTTGGGCCATCCTCCACTGCCCTCCCGGGCCACAGCAGAGAGCTGGACTGGAAAAGGAGCAACCAGGGCTAGAACCTGGCACCCATATGGGATGCCAGCACCACAGGTGGAGGATTAACCAAGTGAGCCATGGCGCCAGCCCCGTGACTTCTTATCAGAAACCCTACAGGCTAGGAAAGAATGGCAAGATATATTCCAAGTCTTAAGATTAAAAAAACTGTCAATCCAAAATATTGTATCTTGCAAAGCTCTCATTTATGAATGAAGGTAAATAAAGACCTTCCATAACAAACAGAAGTTGACAGAATTTGTTGCCACTCCTCCAGCTTTACAAAAGATGCTTAAGGATGTGCTACACACAGAAACATGGTCATCACTATGAAAGAGGGTAAAGGCAGAAAATCTCTCAGTAAAAGTATAAAGGAAATCCAAAGTAAACAATAAGAATATTTATGGCAAAATGGCAGGGCCACGTTGTTACTTATCAATAGTCACCTTGAATGTAAGTAAATGGCCTCAACACTCTGCCTGAATGGATTAAAAAAAAAAAAAAGCAACCTATCTATTTGTTATTTGCTGTCTACAAGAAACACATCTCACCAACAAAGATACATGCAGACTGAAAGGATGGAAAAAGATATTCCATGCTAACAGAAACCAAAAAAGAGCTGATGTAGCCATCCTAATATCAGACAAAATAGACTTTAACACAAAAACTGTTAAGAGGCAAAGAAGGGCACTATGAAGTGATTAAGGGAACAGTTCAATAGGAAGATATGACTATAATGAATGTATATGCACCTAATTACAGGGCACCTGGCTATTTAAAAGAAATGTTGAGGGATCTAAAGGGAGATAGACTCAAATACAATAGTAATGGGGGACTTCAATACTTTACTTTCAGTGATGGATAGATCAACTAGACAGAAAATCAGCAAGGGAACAACAGAGTTTATCGACACTACAGACCAAATGGAACTAAAGGATATCTACAGAACTTTTGATACTACAGTTGGAGAATACACATTCTTCTCACCAGTTCATGGAACTTTCTCTAGGATAGACCACAGGCTAGGTCGTAGAGGAAGTCTCAGGAAATTCAAAACAATCTAAATCATATCATACATCTTCTCAGACCACAGTGGAATGAAGCTGGAGATCTGTAACTCAAGAATCTCTAGGCCGGCGCCGCGGCTCACTAGGCTAATCCTCCGCCTAGCGGCGCCGGCACACCAGGTTCTAGTCCCGGTCGGGGCGCCGGATTCTGTCCCGGTTGCCCCTCTTCCAGGCCAGCCCTCTGCTGTGGCCAGGGAGTGCAGTGGAGGATGGCCCAGGTGCTTGGGCCCTGCACCCCATGGGAGACCAGGAAAAGCACCTGGCTCCTGGCTCCTGCCATCGGATCAGCGCGGTGCGCCGGCCGCAGCGCGCTGGCCGCGGCGGCCATTGGAGGGTGAACCACCGGCAAAGGAAGACCTTTCTCTCTGTCTCTCTCTCTCACTGTCCACTCTGCCTATCAAAAAAAAAAAAAAAAGAATCTCTAGAACATATGCAAACACATGGAGACAGAACATGCTCTTGAATGAACAGTGGATCATAGAAGAAATCAAAAGAGAAATTAAAAAACTGTTCA